TGAGCTGGTGGGAAGTGAGAGGGGAAAAAAGTGTAGGAAAACATTTCTACTGCTTTTTTTTTTTTAACAATTCTCCGGGGCTGTTTTATTTTTTATTTTTTGCTTTTTTAGCATCTAAAACAAAAAGCGAAATTCATGTTCATTTCGTGAAATATTTCATAAGAAGTTCGCCATACTTCCTGACTCTGGCTCCCCTTTCTTTCCCCAAAGTGGCATTTCAATTCCAACAACTGCAGAGCTGCGGTATGAAGCTGCTGGACAGCTGGGTGTGAATATGCGAATGCATCTGTGCGCTGTTAACGCGGATGTTTAGTGCATCTGTTTTTGCGGCTGGCGGTCGCTTATGGAGCTGGGAGGGGTGAGGAGCGAGAGAGAGAGAGAGAGTTTCTGCTGGTGCTGCAGATAACAGGATGGCACCACCTTCATCTGTCCCCGCGGGGGAGCAGCGGCGCACAGAGAACCGGAGCTCGCAGTGAGAAGGCGAGATTAGGAAACGGAGAACGTCGGAGCAAATGCGAGCAAACAATTTTCACGTTAATTAGCATCCCTTACCGCCCCCGCAACACAAACAACACGGCGCCCAAAGACGCAGAGGCAAACGGGGACGGGGGGTTGGGGGGTGGGGCTTGCTAACTTTAGGCTCTCTGCTCATCTGTACTGAATCAGTGGCAGCCAGCAAAAAAAAGCAAAAAACAAAGCAAGTCAGAGAGGGAGTGGCAGGTTGGGAGTACAGAAAACGGGGGCAAAGGGAAAAAAAAAGTGTGGAGAGAAAGAGGAAGGGGAGGAGGAAAAGAGGAGAGCCAGAGATCAAAAGGAGATGGAGAGGAGAACAGAAAGGAGACGCTGCAAAAGAGGAGGAAGTGAAGATGGTCGACATGGAAGGAAAGGCTGAATGTTTTTTTTTTTTCTTTTACTTTATCAATTGTTGTCAAGCCGGCTTCCAGCAGTGGGCACGACTTGTTCACAACAACTGCTGACAAAACGATTCGGTGCTGGCAGGTGTGTAAATACGCTGGCATCATCAGCAGCGGCTGAGAGCAGCATCGGTACAAAGTGACAGAGACAGACGGAGGTCACCTTAACCGCTGATCGCTTTCAGAGCTCAAGCTTTTCTTCAGGAGGAAATATAGCTTAAGATAAATGGTTTGGAAAAAGGATTCATATCACTTTCACTTTTTTGGGGATTTTGTCATGCAACAACCACAGACAGTAATGTTTTATGGCTGTGCTTTATGTCCACTCGTGCAGCTGAAGAAGAGAGCCACAAAATAAGGACAAAAACTGAAAAGTGCGGCATGCATTTGTCTTAGGGGCACACCGATTGCAGTTTGCTGGCCAAGCACCGACTGTTTGCCAAATTTGGCTGATACCATTTTTTTTTTATCTGAAAAGTTGCCAAACATAACATCAAAATTGCTAAGATGGCAACAATGGGCTGACTATTGTTGTACTGGTAGGCAGTCAATCACCCCTCTCTCTTGAGGAAGACCAAAAAGGGAGAGTGACGAATCCATGAAAACATCGGCCAATCAGCGATCCCCCAAAATTAAGAAAATCTCAGCCAATTTATCGGCCAACTAATTTGTTGGTCCGCCCTTTTGTCTTCTTTTATACAAGTAAACTTTGGAAACATGAGGAGTAACCTGCTTTACAAAAACATGGTAAAACATGCCATAGTTATTTCAATTTATATAAAAAATAACAGAAAGTACAATATTGGACAGTAGCTGTGACATATTAAGAACAGGAATGGCCATCCAATCAGAGTCCCAGGGTTCTCTTTTCTCCTCTTTGCTTTCCTTCAAAATTAGCCAACATGCTACTTTTTTCCAAAGATGCTATTATTATCATAATCAGAGGTTCCCAAACTGTGGGGCGTGCCCCCTAGGGGGGGCGCCGTGTCATTGCAGGGGGGGCGGGGGAAGCCGTCTGGATGAGAATAAAAACAAAACATGAACACTGTATGCGCTGGGTTTTTACCCAACTCTCTGTTATTCCTATGTCAATTTGATACAGTAGAGGCTTCCACACTTCCCATATCTTTGTCCTCTGTCACTTTTATCAGCAGTTAAAACTGTTTAATCCGTTGTTAACATGTTGTAACCTGTTTTTCCGAACCACCTTTAAATGCAACATGAGCGCTACGACGCTCGCGCTGGGTTTCCACCTGTGAAGGAGACCTGCTGCTGCTGTGTGGAGCTACGTAGGTTTGTGTTGGAATCACGGCAGCAAACCAGCAAAACGCAAAGAACTTTTCACAGTTTTCCCTCCAAACTAACCGACTGAGTTGAGTAAAGCTGTTGAATGCAGGTAATGTTAGCTAAAGGATGACTAGCTAATATCAATACAGAACCTTAAGCTTAACAAGTACCTTGTAAGCTACTGATGTTGGTGTCTATTTTCAGCTACGTACATTCATTTTGTCCCCAAAAAAGTCGATGCCCCCCCCGTCACACGTGTCATTTCAACCAGACAGCCATTTGTAATCCATAGGGGGGGGGCGCAGAAAATGTTTGGAAACCACTGCTGTAGGTCAACATCCACCAACTCACTCCATTCAGTCTATTAGGTTTAGTTTTTAAATCAAAATGAAGATGCTAACATTAGCATGAGGGCTACGGACAGTATGTGGATCTGCAGTAATACACTCCATTCTGTATGAAAAAAACAATGTGAAAGCTAAATTCTAAAGTTAGCTTAAATGCTGTCACTATTTTTTCGACTGAGTCATTATAACACGTGTGAAATTTTAGTTTTTACTTTTGTCTCATTTGCCTTCTTCCACGCATTTGCTTCACTTGATTTTATTTAGAGGAACCAGTGTAAAGGGGTAAATACAAATATACACCTCATGCAAAATGAAAATCATGCTAGTTTTCTTCTTACTTCAGTTATTCATCACTTTGTGTTTGTGGATTTAACATGACAGGATGTGGATAAAGGCGAGAGGGATGAATACATAAATGGTAAATGGTTCCACTATGTTTATACAGTGAACCTCAGCAAAGAGAAAGATTCTTTGTTGTGTCCACAGTTTTTTATAAATGGCTGTTCACAAAAAGTAATGTGCTGAGTCCAGAAAAACAAGGAGAAAAGAAATGATCCTGTAGTTCTCCTGTGGACGACAGGCACACAAAGGAACACACTTGTGGGACACCAGAGAGAAATCACACACATCCAGTCAACCACAATGCGGACACTGTTGTACTTATGGTCCAGTTCATTTTTAAAATCAATAACACATTACAGCAATTCCTGCAGATGTACAATTCAGGCCATCCAACAACAACAGCAGCAACAACACACGCACATTTTCAGACCTGCTCCAGAACAAGCACATCCATAATTACAAAGTACCCCGGACTTATAATATGTTCAGATTTAGCACACTACATAAAAATTGTGTAAGAAATCTGCTCCAACAACCATTTTTGTGTTGCTAAAAAGCAGCAGTAGGCAGTTCTGAAGCTGTCATCTGCAGTGGTGAGGCAAGACTCCTGACTCGCGCTCAGTTCCACAGAGGTGCACAACCTTCCTGCTTTCATTTCAATCTTTCCACGCTCATCAGCACCGTTTCCTGCTGCAGCAGGCAGTTGTTTCCAGGAGAAGAAAAAAAAAGCTTTGCATTCTACCTGCTGGGGGAACCTCGTGTCTGGCAACAGAGAATGGTTGGTTGTTCAGCGTCTAAATGAGGCTAAAAGCGGCGCAGTTGCAAATTTATTTATAAGTCTTGAAACTTTTCACAATCTGTTGCGTTACCACAACCAACTCGTCCAAACATTTTTAAAGCTGTAAATCTGAAGCAAGTGGCCTGCATCTGTCTGCAGTCCCCTGACCCCAGGTCTTTGACACACTTTAGCCCTTTCTCCATTGTCATATCTCACTCCAGCTGTTCAATATCTGGTTATGTGAAAAATGAGCAGTCCGTGTGCACGCAGGAGCTGTGATCGACCTTCTAAAGGTTCAACTTCTCCAAAATTTCTTTGTCAATTATTTTGATGCAGGTTGCCCCATCCAGTTGACATGGCATCCACAAGTACTGCCTTCACTCGTCCAGTGACGCAACACCACAGGCCAGTCAACAAATGCAGTCTGCTGCCAATTGAATCACTAGCTTGCACCACCACTTTGGTGGTTTAAAAAAAAAAAACGGGGAAGAACCGTGCTGGATCTGCAGTTTGAGATGAATCTGGCCAAGATTGACTGCTAAGAACCGATGAAAGCCTGTGGACAAGGGACTTATGGCATAAACCGTGCCAGTGTAGCTCTGGCTGCATGTCTGGTGTCATTTTTCAGCTGGAAGGTGAAACTCCATCTAGTCCATCTGCCTATCAACTCTAGGCAAGTAGGCAGAGGAACAATATTGCCACCACCACATCACCATAAGGATGGCGATACTGTATTGGCTGAAAGGCAATCAGTATAATTTTTTTGGATTGACAATACAGATAAATTTAAAAATATGTTTGTGTGACATAGGAGACAATGTCCTGTCTTGAGTTTGTTTGTGGATGCCGACAGCTAACCAGCAGCTCGAAACCAGTGAGTCACATTAGTTTCTCTCAGTAATTTCAAAAGATTTTTGCCAACTGGCTCTCACCACACTAAGCATACACGGATAAAAAACACTTAACCACACATTACACATCTCAGAAAAGTTAATTTGTAGCACGTTACCACTTCTTTAGAATATCAGTCATGTTAAATAATCAGAGCTGTGAGAGTGGGGAGGATTTAAGAGCTCAACAAGTGGTTGTAGAAGGCAGGGAACGAAGTGTCTCGACTCTGGGGTGGATTAAGATCGTCCGAAAAGATTCTGTTTCTTGAACAGATCTCATCTGAAAGTGGCCGACTAAAATGGCGCTGACATTTTCCTTCCCAGCCTTTTGAAGCTGGATGGAGTGCAGATAAACTGACCTGTCACCTACAGTCAGTGTGGGGAACGTGTGCTGCGAGGGACTCACGAGTCTCCAAGCTTCATGTGTGCGTGCTGTGCTCACCTGAAGAACGTGACAAAGAACTGCACCAGGTCCATAAAATTGCTGTGCTGGGAAAAAGCAATCTGTTAAAAACACAGAAAAAGGTGGAGAGAGAGAGAGAAAAAAAAACAGTTAGAAATCAGGTGGAACAAGGGAAATGTTACATCAAGAGGTTAGATAACGCACATACAGATGGATAAAGACTCAATGCCAGTTATTACAAACACTTGATGGCAGTTGTTGGGAAATAAATTAAATCATTTTAAAATTACATTTTTTATTTACTGTGGTTATTTTAGTTTGATATTAAATCTAAGTCATTTAGGTGCCATGCAAAAGCAAAAAGGGGAAGAATATGCAAAAGGGAAACATTTTTTCACACCACTGAATGACAAACTACAAACATAGGTTCTCATAGCCCAGATGTGAAGATTGTTTGTTGTGACTAATTTGTGGTTTATGTTTCCAAGTGGTTGTGATGTGTCAATAACGTTACGCAGTGTTGCTATAAGCCTTTTTCTCCCCCTTTTCCTTCAGATTTCTCCACAGCAGCCACTGAAGGCTCTGAGTCAGTTGATCTGATGCTCCAAACCAAACATGTCAACTAGACAACAAGCCGGCAGCGCTACCTTTCAGCAACCCACAACCTGTCTGCTAAAATAAAAACAGAAAATGAATGAATGAATAAACTTCATTCCTGAATACGTGGGCAGAAATATTCTCCATGTAATCATCACAAGTGCCCCTGCTCCAACGACATCCTGTCTTAATCAAGGTTGCCAGGGGCAACGCACGCAGAGTCGTTCCACCTCCCCACCCCACTTTTCCCTCCTACAACCTCCCACCTTAACCTCAAAGTGCCTCACAACGAACCGCCAACCTGTGATGACGCAACACTGCCCCTCTCTGGCATCCCAAGGGTACTGCGCCTGCTTCATGAGAGTTTAGTTCTACACACACAAACTTCTGTGAACCAAAATGAAATTGTTGGACCATGCTCGCATCACCACTGCTGCTGCTTACCATTCACCATAAAGGCTGAAGTTAACATACAGATCTGAATGACCAGAGTCTACAATGACCTTAAATAGGTACGAGTCAACAAATGAGAGGTGACGAAACAAGATCAAGACGGCTGTTGTGTAGGTAGGTGCACAAGTGTTTTATTTGTGCATAATCAGCACCATATGGATCACCAAAGTGCAGTCGGTAGTTGCTGATGAGCTTCAAATCCTCAGAGAGACAATTTTCCTCCAGTCTGTTGATCACTGAAAATAACTTCTGAGGTGTTGCTAGGCTCACTGAGAACTTTCAGAAAGACGTCAACATCAAGCAGGAGGCTGGGGAAAATGTCAGCTAACTTGTTAGGCGTCTAATTAGAAAAAACAAAAGTTAAAAAACACTGCAGGCACTCTAGAGTTAATCTCTTGACAGACAAAAAAAAAGACTAAATGGCACATGGGAAACCACAAAGAGTTCAAAATTTAAGATGTACACTGACTGAGCAAAAAAATCTGGGTTAAAAGAAAGCAGGAGCAGAACTTATCTGAGAAATATTTCAAGCCTTGAACAGCTCAGAGAATAACATCTTTATAAAGAAACCTTCTAATTTATACACAGAAAAATGGGAGTCAAATCAATCCATTCACACCAGACTGATGCAAATTCAAAAAGAAATTTGATCTCAAGAAACAGCCGAATGCATCAAGTTCCTGACTTTGCAGCAATTGCTCTTCCAGAGCAAGCACGTAGCAACAGTAGACAGTTGATTGCATGGAGTTAACTTTGAAGCAATCCGTCATACTGAGAATAAATGGAGCGACAATGGAAAGGACAACTCCACTTTAACAGGAAGAAACTTCCAGCCGAGCCTGGGTAATGTGAGCAGCCATCTCAATCAATCAAGCAAACTTTACAGAGCACAAAGTGATTTACCGAGGGTAAGAGCACAAAGTTCCTCAAGAAATGATCAAAATGATCAACTTAAGTAACCCGACGAAACAAGTATTCTTAAACAATGAGGAATTAAAAGTAAGAGTAATTAATTAGAAACTGTGGAAATACTTTTGTCGATTAGAGCAGTAAGAATACTGAAGATACATGTATATAAGGAGAGGCATAATATATAATGTTAAAGAGAAAGGTAAAAAAAAAGCATCAATTTAAGCTAAGAGACACGGGAGAAGTTGCAGAGATCCACAGCCAGGGTGGGAAAATTTGTTGACAGGAAAACTATAAAGTCAGCCACTCCATAAATGTGGCTGAAAGAGAGGCAAGAAGAAAGCTTGTTTAGCAAGACCTACTCAAAGTCCTATTTGCCACAAGTTATGTTGGGGACGCAGCAACCATGTTGCCAAAGTTGACCACGTCTGATGAGACAGAAGCTAAACTTTCTGACCTATTTTACAAAATGCAATGTTTGGAAGATAAACCTCGTCCTTCAGGATTAATCCATGTATAACTACTAAGTTTAAATAGTTGGATCTTGGAGGTCAGTGTCAGCTCTCTGGATGTCCACATGTTCTTGAACTGGATGAAGGGGACTCTTACTTTGTCAATTCTTGCCTCGGCATCTGCATTGGTTCAACCTTGCCAGTCAATGATGTAAGAATACATCATTAGGTGAAAGACTGTACTTCTTCCAGAGGACTTCCATTTAGGGTGATTGGATTGATGCTATTCAGAGTTGATTTTAAGGATTTTAGTTTTCTCCTCATGGATGATAAGTCCTACCAATGCACAATACACCTGTCTCCTCTTGCATTTGCTGCTGGTTGTGGGAGAGAAGTGTGACCATCTACTGAATTCTATTACTGTGAAGTCTTCATGACCCAGTCAATGACGATGAGGAAGACGAATGGGGTCAACAAGCCTCCTTGTCAAACTCCATTTTTGGAAGCTATTGGTATGTTGCCCTTTGTGGTTCAATCTTATAGGTTATGCCCTCATAGCTGGGATATCGTAGTATTGAAGAAGCTTCCATAGGACCTCTCGATCCACACAGTGAACACTTTCGGGCAGTTTACGAAGTTGATATACAACATTAAATTTCTCTTTAAGGACTGTTTGACAATAATGTGTAGTGTTACAATCTTATCTGTGCATGATTACTTCTGTCATAAGTTGAATTGCTTGTCGTAGTTGTATATCAACATCATCATCCGCTCAAGGTGGATGTGATGGATGACTCTACAGATGACTACACGTCTATAGTGTTTCCAGTCTTCCAGTCAGTCTGTAGCTCTTCTTTTCCCTAGAGTTTCTTGAAGAGTGGGTACAGCATCCCCTCTGATATTTCTGTAGGTATGTCGTCAGGTCCAGCAGCTTTCCTAATCTCTTCTCTAGTCAACTTGTCACAGTTGATGGTGAGAGCTTTGTTGGCTGGGTTGATGGCTGATGGATTTGGTGACATGGGTCCATTCAGGAGCTACTTAAGGTGTTCAGACCATCAGTTCAATTGCTGTGCTAGTCCCTCCTTTTCCTTGCTGGGTCATTTTGGCTTGCTGTACTTTCCAGACTATTTCTTACGTGTGTCATAGAGCTGTTTCATACAACCGTTGTATGCCACCTGTTCTTCTCCCCCTGCCCGTGCATCTATGCAGTCTTTGTCTTTCCTAATGCTTGTCTTCACTGCTCTGTGGTTGTTCTTTTAAACCATCTTCTTTCATTCTCAGTCATTGTTCACTCAGCTGTGAACAATGATGTTTCTTAATTCCGACCACTTTTCTACAGGCTGTTATCCGTGTCTCTTTACTGGTCTGCCAGTTTGTCTGTATACTCCTTTTCTCCTTTTCCAATTTCTTGTGTTGCTCTTTTAGCGCCTCAGTGTTGTCCTTTAACTGAAGTCCAAGCTCCTCCCTGATGCTGGTGACCTTTAGGTCGTGTGTCATAATAGTTCACTCTACCATGGGTTGTTCTTATCCAATTCTTCTTTAACTACTACTAGGTGGTGGTCAGATGCCACATCCGCTCCTCTTCTAAGTCTTATGTCCTGGAGAGGTCTTCTAAACTTCTTGATAATGCAGAAGTGGTCCATCGTGACATTATCCAGTCATACACAAGTGTTTTGTTTTGTTTTTTTTTCTAAACACATAGCAATCCTGTGATAAAAAATGTCAGTGTCGGGAGAAGAAAACAGATCAAGGAATACCAGCAGGACTAAGCTGAAATCGAGAGCTACAGGGGAGCGGTTTAGATCACAGCTCCTTGAATGTGACAACCATGTATCATTTCCCCTCAGTCTCTCAATTATGCACCACTTTGTTCTGCTCTTTCACGTAAAATGCCAGCAAAACACAAAGTTTTGTGGTCGGAACATGACAAAATGTGAGAAAGGTCGAGCATGAATAATGAAAATGAGATTCATCCCGAGACTTTATGAATAAATACAGCTAAAGCTTTAAATTATTAAAGAAAACCTTGTTGGCTGGGGACCTGGAACTGCTTATTCCTTGTGACAGCCGCCTTAAAGAGCCACAGACTTCTCCGAGTGATTAGATGTACAGAATTCTCACCTTCGACAACTATGAACCTCTGAAGGAAAAGGCCTTCAAAGGCCACGAACAGCGCCCCTGGGTCATGTCATCACTGCCTGACTCAATTTCAGAAAGTGCAAGCAGGCTGCCATGCTGACAACACATTTGAGAACAGCTATTGTTGTGGCTAATCTCGAGTGTCAGCCGTGTTCAACAGGCGAGTATGAAGCCCAGGTGGTGTTCCTCTTGCATGCCCGCTACAGAAAGATACCCTATAGGACGTGCTGCTGTAGGGTATCAAGAACGTAAATATTAAATATTCTTTGAATAGTTTCTAGCAGCTATTTCATCTACACCGGAGCTTTGGCAGACAGCGACGGTATCGACGGGGAGCGACTCAACAGGTTCTACATTCAAAGAGCGAATGGAATCTCAATTTTAAACGTGACATGACTGTACTGCGTTTCTTAAAAACTAGAATAGATTTGTTATGTGCCAGTGACTATTAATGAATTATGGCAGTGATTTAAGTGCAAACAATCCTGTCCAAGATTTCCACACCTTTTTCATGTGAAATCTTTTCAAGGCTCAATTTTCTAACTCATTCT